CATGGCGGAAACTTGCGTCACAACAGCCAATCAGAGTCAAGCTTTTCCTGCTCGCTTCTGTAAGTTAACGGAGAAGTAAGGAGAAATAAATAGAATGACCGAACATGGAGCTAAACGCGGAGCTGAGGGCAGCAAGATAGATGTCAGCCGTGACTTTGAGTTATCCTCAGAAGATGGTATAGTTGAGAAGTTATTCAACATCTCTCCAAAGTGACGCGAGCAATTCAGCCGATAAACCGGCAACATAACAAATCTGTTCTTCCCGAGTGAGTATGTGGGAAGCATGAAAATGCAAGCGGAGTCTGTACAGCCTGCCACTGCTGACGGTACGAGTAGCATTTGCAGTTTAGACACAACTAGCGGTGCAGCCACCAGACCAAAACAGCGATCAATCATTTCCATACCTGCCAACACTCCTGTTTATCCCGGGACTCTCCCCTATTTCAGACGTATCTCCCGTCCACCCCCCGTATTGTCATTTCTCCCATGAATTTCTCGTAGCATGGTCCGCATTCATTCATGAATCGGATCACTATATTTGTCTAAATTTTCCAGGTTTCCAGACAACCAGAGATAGTCCTGTGTTCTGCTGAGCCTCAAAGACACTGGATTGATTTTTTTACATTACAGTTTTGGATGATTCATGTCGGTTTAAGCTGTAAACTATATTTAAGCAGTGTTTGTTGGAAAATTAAAACTTCAGTGAAAGGAAAACAAACGCGAGATATGCGAGAGTGATGCGTTCAGGGCAGCCTCAGATAAAAGAGTGCTGTATTTCATGCACAGATGTTCAGAGAGCCTCATACGGGAGAGCATGTAGAACATATGAGGACTTCAACACTAATATTAGTGGACTAAATAAGTTAAAGGCATAGCCTACCTTTTATCTTTTTTTTTTAACCATTTGTTATTGTGAAAACAAAACAAAAGTGTGCAATTTCACTTATACTTATATTGTACTTACTTATATTATATACTTATTTGGATGAGCAATTTAATTACAAATACTCTCATAATGAGCTCATATCCACCATACAAGGTCATCCCAAAACTGCCCAGCGTACGCCGCAAACAACTCCTGGATTTTATAACCCAAATGTTGTCAGGAATGCGTATCATCTATGTTTACATCACCTAATGTTTACATTTTAAAGCATCTTCATTATCTCTGAGGGGGCGATTTGTTTATTTTGGGTCTTGCATACCTGCAAAAACACTCAGGACTGTAAACTAATTATCTGTATTACTTAGTATTTATCTACATTTGTTGTACTGTTGAATTAAAATGTTTTTTAGATTTTTCCAAGTGTATCTTATTCAATTTGCTTTGTTATTTACTTTGTATGTTAATAAAATGTTGAACTAATCTCTAGTTTTTTTAGTTTTTGGTACAGATGCTTGTTCTAAAATACACTTATGGTGCAACTTAAGACACATCATCAGTGTTGGCACCTGGGTTCATTGGGTGTTTCGGGTCTTGCAACAGACACCCTCGCCCAGGGGACCCAGCCGGGGTGATCAAGTCCCGGCTTGTGTCTTAAGAGCATGTGACCACGGATCACCCCGCTTGATCCACAGCCATCTGGACGCCTTCTCTGCTGCGTCGCAGATGTTCTTGATGGCTCGCCTATTGTGCAGTCCCCCCACTCCCAGCATCTTGAGAGCCCTGATGAGGGACTGGCCAGCGAATCCTCTGCATCCAACCTCAATGGGGTTGCATCGGGTCCTCCATCCCCTGCTTCGGCATTCACTTGCCAGCTCTTCATACTTGGCTTTCTTCCTCTCAAAGGCCTCCTCCATCCTGTCTTCCCAGGGAACAGTCAACTCCAGCAGGACCACTTGCCTTGTTGTTTCAGACACCAGGACCATGTCTGGCCTGAGCGTGGTCACTGCGATGTTCTCCGGGAATTTGAGCTGTCTCCCTAGGTCGACTTTCAGCTGCCAGTCCCAGGCTATTGCCAGCAGCCCCCCTGCTTGCCTCCTGAGCTGCTGCGGCTTCTCCCCAGCCTTAACGAAGGCGATGGTCTGCCTTGATGGTTGTACGTGTTTGCTGGTGGAAATGCCTGTGCTGATGGCCTCCGCAATGACCCGTAGCACTTGGTCATGGCGCCCCTCTCCCAGTGCTCTTGGGCAGCAGCTCAAGATATGTTCCAGTGATCCTGCTCTTTGGCAGAGAGGGCACAGTGGGTTCTCAGCCAAGTCCCAGCGGTGGAGGTTGGATGGGCTTGGGAGGACGTCATAGACCGACTGGATGAGGAACTTGATCCGGTGAGGCTCAGATCGCCATAGCTCTGACCACGAGACCTTCCAGGCAGCTGCCTCCTCCCAACGGGTCCACGCCCCCTGCTGCCGCATCCCCACTGTCTTGCTGCAGCGGGCTTCCTCCACCCCTGCTCGGACCTCCTCCTGGATCAGCTGACACCTTTCCTTCCCCTTGGCCTTTTTGTATGAAGGTCTCGGGTTGCTCCCAAGTCCTGCCCGTCCGGATGCCACTGTTTCCACCAGCTCACTGTGCCGCAAGCGGGACTCAGCCTGATCGACTGCCTCTTGAGCTGCTGCTGCTGCTTTAAAACTGGCAGTTTAAAAAAAAATCGTGATACTAATCGAGATCGGACAATATGACAAAATAAATCGTGATCATTTTTTTTGCCAAATCGCCCAGGCCTACCCCAGCTGCATCGTCCTTGATTGTCCACCTCAGGCCCTGAGCTCCTCCATCTCTTAGGCTCCTCTGGACCGTTGCTGCAGACACATACATCAGCCTAACTGACATCTATAAAATAAAACTAGAGTAAACTGCCATTGAGTTTTAACTTTAATCACCTTAAATTAATTTAACATCCATAATTAGTTATTTCATTATCTTGTACATTGAAGTCATTTTCTCCCATCAAATTGCTAACCAGATCTCTCTGTATGTTTCTGAGCCCCAGTCTCCTAGGTTGCTCTGGACTGATGGCTGCTGCAGACCTGCCTGACTCCAGCCACATTGTCTATGATTGTCCGCCTCAGGCCTTGAGCTCCTTCTTCTCTTGGGTTCCTCTGGACTGTTACTGCAGACATGAACATCAGTCTCACTAACATTAATAACATAAACCTAGAGTTAACTACTATTAGGCCTGCTGACTGTAATCACATTAAATTAATTTAACACAGTCCATAATTACTCAAATCCTAACCCTGTAAACTGAATTCATTTTGTTTCACCATTACATGAGCTGTTGTTGTTGTTGCTGTTGTTTTATTGTTACTGTTGTCCCCTGTCTCTCTCTCCCTCCTTCTCCCTTACTCATTATCTGTCTCCTTCCCTCTATCTTGTTCTCTTTATCTCCCCCTGCCCTCTTTTCACTTTTCACTTCTCTCTCTCCCCCCTATCTCTCTGTATTCCTCCCCAACCCAGCAGTGGCTGCCTGGCATGAGTCTGGTCCTGATCAAGGTTTCTGCCTGTTAAAAGATAGTTTTTCCTTGCCACTGTTACTCATGTTAGATGAGATGGGCCAAAACCCATCTTAGGTTGGATCTTGATAATTCATCAAACAATGAGCGTGGTCTAGACCTGCTCTTGTTCTTTGAAAAGCGTCTTGGGATGATGATTGTTGTGAATTGGCGCTATATAAATAAAATTTGATTGATTTGATTGATTGAAAACTAAAGAAGGTAAGAGAGGGAGAAGGTGACAAGGAATAATTACAAAGGAGCACAGAGGTAAGGATATTACTGCAAGTGGTATTCTTTTTATTTAAAAGTTAAGTGTTTAATGCTTTATCAGAAAAAATTGTGGCGTGACTGGTGGGTTGTGAGGACCCAGAAGACAGAGATCAACTTAAGGTGTAGTTTTAATGTCCAAACTCAGGTTTTAAAGGCAAAAAGAGGAAGTCCGGCAGGCTGGTTGGCTGGCTGTCGTGTGGGCTGGAGACACTGCAGGGAAAAGAGGAGAGGGAAGTGAGTAGGCATGCAAGGAATCACAAGGAGCAGAGTTACAAATACTAATTCAAAAGGAGGCCAGGAGACGCGTCTGTACCACTTGGGAGTGAAGACAATACTCAGGCGCTGAGACTGAGGGCTGCTGGTTTCTTAAAGTGCCTTGATTGTAGATGAAGAGCAGATGTGTAGTCTCACTCAGCCTCAGTGACCGGGGGAGGGGAGGAAGCTCTGGAAGAGAGTAAAGCCAGACCAGGCAAACAAGGAAACACAGGAAGTCCAGCCAAAATAAAACAAAAGGAGGAGGCGTCTCACCACAAAAATACTGCATATCATTCAGCCTTTGTTTAAGTTATTTTGTGGAGAATTTAACTTTTAATGTTTTTTTTTTTTCAGGGAAGGAAAAAAAAACAAGGAAAGGAGAAGAGAGGTGAGGGGAGGAGAGCAGATGAGAGGAGAGAAGTGTAGTGGGGAAGACATGTTATTGAGGGCCAGTATATTGTCCATCATCCTGATATGAATGTTCAATCTTGGAACAGGCTTTCAGTAGCCCCTTTAAAACCCAGGAGGTTGGAGAAAAATCAACTTAAAACACTTATGTCTGTTTCCTAAAAAATATGGAAGATTGTATTTACTTCATGTGTTACACTATAGTGTCTACAGTCACCAAATTAGCCATTAAACTATAATTGTTGCCATGCATAATATACACAACCATTATTTTTCTGAAAGGAATAGGCAACATTTGATTTCTCAATGACTTGGTTACCAAACATAATCTTAGAAACCACGTGTAATGAAATGTCAGACTCGTTTTTACCCACAAGATTGATCATGCTTGTCCTCCATTCAGGTTTATGAAGACTATGGGATAGACTGGAATGGACCTCACAGTCTTTATGGAGGTACTGAGTCAGTCTGCGAGATTCAGCTGGCCCAAGAGCTCACAGACGAAGAGGTTGCTACTTTGCCAGCTCCAGGATTGTCTGTCACTGATGCAGTTCTATTATATTTAGACACCGTGCAGGTTTTAACAAGAATAACAGCAAACTGATGTCCAACCCATGCTTTTATTTCGCCTCACAGACCAAGCAAAAACTAAACTGGAAAAACTTCCTTTCCTCAGGATTTAAAAAAACAAAACGAAAACAAAACAACCATAGTCACCACTGTGATCTTTTAGATGGACTTATTCTACATCTCATTCTCCAAATAATGGATAACAATGCTGTAAATTTTTAAACTGCAAAACAATGGTCAAGAACTGCGTCAGTTTAGGGTTATAATGAACTGCATGCAATGACCCATCTGAAAAAAAATTGAAATTACACAAGTCCAAATCCACTCTGTGCACTATTTATGGCTGTGAAAAGTGCTTCCTCAAACTCCTCGTAGGTTTTGAAATGAGCTGGCAGTTTCAGTGCTTCAAAGCATGTAGAGGACGTGGGAAGATCCAGAGATCTCCACTCTGAGCTCAGGAGGAAGCATCTCCCAGCCAACCCAGAATTTCAGCAGCTGGACCAGTATACCTGATGAGGCTACAAGTCATAAAACAGATCGAAGACAACACTTAGTTTGACTCCAATTGGTCATCTCTATCCATGAAACAATTATAAAGAGAGCAATACAAGAACATTAGCCAAATAAATGGTTTCATACCTGTTTCAATGAACATCCTCAGAAAGCCAGTGATGCGGCATGTAGACTCTATGTCAAAGTCCTCACCATCACTGTCCTCAACTGGCCATGTGATTTTTTGCAGGAGCATCTTAAGAAACAAAAAAAGAAAACAATTTGGCATAGTTGAACTTACTTTGTTCAAGGAATATTCAGATCACATTCTTGGTAATTGGAAAAATATAACAGCTCAGTCATTGAAAATACATAAATTCATACAGTGAAGTAAAAAAAAACTGAAATCCTGCCTTACCTGAGGTGTGAACTGCAAATCAGCCATTTTGGGGAAAAGAAGTGGGACTACATATGGTCTAGATGTCAGAAGTGGCCATACCATCACATCTTTCAGCCCCTTTCTCAACTGTTTTATTTGGCGCATGGTTCTCCCAATGACCTAAAGAGACGGACCCAACAAATATTACAGCTGAAATCCTCAACCTAAATTTCAACACTCAACAGGCATGAGAAATGCTGTGGTTAAACGATAAATACCATTCTACTTACATAAGCTATGCATTAAATGGTGGTTGTGAAAAACTTAAACATGACAATGGCCAAAGCATGAATTACACAACTAAAACCTTACCATTTTATCCCTGCCAGCATTAGCTATGAATTGTGCCAGTTAAGTTAACCAGCAGGTACTCACTGCATGGAGGAAAAGTTTGTTATGTAGCCATCTGTTGTGAGGCAGGCTTGTAGTGAGGACCCAGAAGCAGACACTGAGACAGAGCTCAACGTAAAACGAATTTAATGTCCAAAAACAGAAAGGGATAGATAAGGAAACAAAGGAAGTCCGGTTGGTGGGCTGGTTGGCTGGCTGTCGTGTGGGCTGGAGACACTGCAGGAGAGACCAGAGGAGACAGGAGTTAAAGGACATGCAAAGAGTCACAAGGAGTAAAGTTCAGAACGTTATACCAACGACGAAGGCCAGGAGATGCGTCTGTACCGCTAGGAAGGGTAGACAATACTCAGGCGCCGAGACTGAGGGCTGCAGGCTTCTTAAAGTCCCTTGATTGGAGATGAGGAGCAGGTGTGTCGTCTCACTCAGCCTCAGCGCCGGGGGAGGGGAGGAAGCTCTGGAAAAGAGTACAGCCAGACCAGGCAAACAGGGAAAGACAGGAAGTCCAGCCAAAATAACACAGAATGAGGAGGCGTCTCACCACAGTACCCCCCCCTTAACGAACGCCTCTTGGCGTTCTGCCGGGCTTGTTGGGGTGGGCAGCGTAGAATTCTTCCAGGAGTTGGTGGTCCAGGATGAGGGAGCGGGAGATCCAGGAACGTTCCTCTGGACCGTAACCCTCCCAGTCCACGAGGTATTGGAAGCCTCGCCCCCGAGGCCGCACGTCCAGGATTTTCCTTACAGTGAAGGCAGGGTGGTCATCAATCAATCGGGGGGGTGGAGGGGCGACGGAAGGAGGGCTCAGGGTGCACGAGGCAACAGGTTTTAACAAGGAGACATGGAATGTGGGATGAATTTTGAGAGATGAGGGAAGTTTTAATCTCACCGCTGAAGGGTTGATGATTTTCTGGATAGGGAAGGGACCAATGAAGCGGGGGGACAGCTTGGGTAAAGGGACATAGTGAACAAATTTGGAGAATCTGTCAATGATGGTGAGTATGACTGTGTTACCTTCAGAGGGAGGGAGACCAGTGACGAAATCTAAGGCTATGTGGGACCAGGGGCGTGAAGGCACAGGCAGAGGACGCAGCAAGCCAGCCGGAGGTTGGTGGGAGGCTTTGCTTCGGGCACAGACGGAGCAGGCAGTAACAAACGCCCGTACGTCCCGGACCATCCCCGGCCACCAGAACCGCTGCTGGAGGAATTGGAGGGTGCGTTGAAACCCGGGGTGGCAGGTGAGCTTGGAGGAGTGCCCCCACTGTAGGACCTGAGAACGTGCGACCTCAGGGACGAACTTTCTGTCCGGCGGGCCGGTTCCGGGGTCTGGGTGGTTCCGGAGGGCCTGGTCCACGATGGTATCGATCTCCCAGGTGGCAGAGCCGACGACACAGGAGGCGGGGAGGATGGTGTCTGGTTCACTGGGGTCCGGAGTATCCAAGGCGTGGATCCGAGAGAGGGCGTCTGGTTTGAGGTTGCGGGAGCCGGGACGATAGGAGAGGGTGAAATTGAATCTGCTGAGAAAAAGGGACCAGCGGGCTTGCCTGGGGTTGAGGCGACGAGCGGAGCGGAGGTATTGCAGGTTCTTGTGGTCTGTCCAGATTAGAAACGGTTGGGAAGCTCCTTCCAGCCAGTGTCTCCATTCTTGCAGTGCCCACACGACAGCCAGTAATTCACGGTTTCCCACGTCATAATTTTGTTCCGTGGCTGAGAGTTTCCGGGAGAAAAAGGCGCAAGGATGAAGCTTCTGGGTCTGAGAGTCCCTCTGTGAGAGGACGGCCCCTACTCCAGAGTCCGAAGCGTCGACCTCCACCATGAACTGAAGCGAGAGATCTGGGTGTTTGAGCACCGGGGCGGAGATGAAGAGGGATTTGAGATGATGGAAGGTGGCGTCTGCTTCGGGGGTCCAGGAGAATGGAACCTTTAGGGATGTGAGCCGGGTGAGGGGAACTGCGACCTTACTGTAGTTCTTCATGAACCGTCGATAGAAATTAGCGAAGCCGAGGAATCGCTGGAGGTCTTTGCGGGAGGAGGGGGTGGGCCAGACACGGACAGCGCAGACTTTTTCTGGGTCTGGGCGTAGCTCCCCCTGGGCGATGATGTAACCAAGGAAACTGATGGAGGAGGCGTGGAACTCGCACTTTTCGGGCTTCACGAAAAGGCGGTTTTCGAGGAGGCGCTGAAGGATGAGTCGGACGTGCTGCTGGTGTTCCTCCAGGTTTCGGGAGAAGATCAGAATATCATCTAAGTAGACGAAGGCGAACTTGTTAATCATGTCGCGGAGGACATCATTAATGAGGGTCTGGAACACAGCAGGAGCGTTGGTGAGGCCAAAGGGCATAACCAGGTATTCGAAGTGGCCCATGGGTGTGTTAAAGGCCGTCTTCCACTCGTCCCCCTCCCGGATGCGAACCAGGTGATAGGCATTCCGGAGGTCCAGTTTTGAGAAGATGGTGGCTTGACAGAGAGGTTCGAAGGAGGGATCAATGAGTGGTAGGGGATATTTGTTTTTAATGGTGATATCATTTAATCCACGGAAGTCAATGCAGGGACGGAGAGAGGAATCTTTTTTCTTCACGAAGAAGAAACCAGCAGCCAGGGGAGAAGATGAGTCCTGAGGTCAGGGAGTCTTGAATATAGTCCTCCATGGCCTCTCGTTCGGGCCGAGAGAGGTTGTACAGTCTACTACTGGGAAGAGGGGCTTCAGGGAGCAGGTCTATGGCGCAGTCATAGGGACAATGAGGAGGAAGAATGAGAGACTGCTCCTTACTGAATACCATTGCTAGGTCATGGTAGGCGGGGGAACCGAGGTGAGAGATGGCGGTGGAGATGCTGACCTCTGTCGGTGGATGTGAGGATTGGCGGAGCGGAGGCAGTGGGAGTGACAGTGAGGGCTCCAGGTGGAGATTGAAGATGTGGACCAGTTAATCTGAGGGTTGTGGATTTGTAGCCAAGGGAGTCCCAGCACCAGGGGAGAGTGAGGAGATGGAAGCAGGAACAGCCGGATGTCCTCCCAATGATTTCCGGAGAGGATGAGGGTGAGAGGAGCTGTGCAGTGGGTGATGGAGGCTATAACTCTGCCATCGAGAGCGGTGACCTCACGGGGAGCCGGGAGTTCCTCCAGGGGGAGCTGAAGCCGCGCTGCCAGTCCAGCATGAATGAAGTTATCATCCGCCCCAGAGTCAATAAGGGTTTGGAGGGAAGTGGACTCCTTTCCCCACAGGAGACAAGCAGGTACCAGGATGCGTTTGGGAGAGCTGGCAACGGAGGAGGTATGGCTCATCAGTGTGCCCTCAGTCACGGATGAGCCTGGCCGTTTAACTTGTTTGGGCAGTTGGTTAGAAAGTGACCGGCCTGGCCACAATAGATGCATAGCCTCTTCTCTACCCTCCTTCTCCGTTCATCCGGGTGAAGCTTAGTGTGGCCGATCTGCATGGGTTCACCTGCAGATGGCGCCGGATCCGGGAAGACTGAGGGCTGCAGAGGAGACCCGCTGACCGCAACAGAGGAAGGGGAGTCTATTCTAGGGACTAAGGAATGGTTTTTCTTCTCCCTCCGTCTCTCCCTGAGGCGATTATCAATTCTAATAGCTAGCGCTATTAGCTCCTCCAGGGAGGAGGGCTCATCACGAGTCGCTAGCTCGTCCTTCAATTGTTCAGAGAGACCCCGAGTGAATATCCCCTTTAACTCGAGGTCCCCCCACCCACTCTCGGCCGCCACAGTACGGAACTCAATGGAGTATTCCGCCACTGACCGAGAGCTCTGGGTGAGGGAAAATAGCCGTTTGGTACACTCGGGGCCCTCAACAGGAAAATCAAATATTCTCCGGAGCTCTTCGGAAAAACGGGCGTAAGAAGTGAACAGAGGTGAGTCCCTATCCCAGACGGCTGTAGCCCACTTAGCGGCCCTACCTCTTAACAGATTGATGGTGTAAGCGACCTTAGCTCGATCTGAGGGGTAGCTAATGGGCTGTTGGTCAAATACTAAGGGGCAACGGAGCAGGAAACTTTTGCAGCCCCCAATCTCCCCAGCATACGGCTCAGGAGGAGGGACATAGGGCTCTTTGAGGATAGCGGGTGGTGGAGGAGGTGAAGAGGGGACCGTACTAACAGAGGGGGGGAATCCTGGTTGTTGTGGTGGAGGCCGAGGGAGTAGTTGCTCCGCCAGCTGCGACATTTGAATGGAGAGGCCATGAAGCGACTGATGGAGACTCTGGAGCATCTCCTCATGTTGGCCAATCCGCGTGCCGAGCTTCTGGACGGCTAGCTGAACTCGGTCTGGGTCTGTTGGGTCCATTCTCCTGGCCTGAGTATTCTGTTGTGAGGCAGGCTTGTAGTGAGGACCCAGAAGCAGACACTGAGACAGAGCTCAACGTAAAACGAATTTAATGTCCAAAAACAGAAAGGGATAGATAAGGAAACAAAGGAAGTCCGGTTGGTGGGCTGGTTGGCTGGCTGTCGTGTGGACTGGAGACACTGCAGGAGAGACCAGAGGAGACAGGAGTTAAAGGACATGCAAAGAGTCACAAGGAGTAAAGTTCAGAACGTTATACCAACGACGAAGGCCAGGAGATGCGTCTGTACCGCTAGGAAGGGTAGACAATACTCAGGCGCCGAGACTGAGGGCTGCAGGCTTCTTAAAGTCCCTTGATTGGAGATGAGGAGCAGGTGTGTCGTCTCACTCAGCCTCAGCGCCGGGGGAGGGGAGGAAGCTCTGGAAAAGAGTACAGCCAGACCAGGCAAACAGGGAAAGACAGGAAGTCCAGCCAAAATAACACAGAATGAGGAGGCGTCTCACCACACCATCTCCAATTTGTTTTGGTGACTGCCGGGAGATTCCAAGATAATGCAAGATCTGAAACTGTCTCCTTCTGTTCTGGTGTAAGTTCTTCATGTTCAAGCTTGAATGAAGACCATACAGGTTATTACATTTGCCAATATATTTTTTGCAAGAGAATGGTTTTTGTGTTACATACCAGTTTTATGATACTCCTGATATGCAGATCAGGGCAGTCTTCTGTAACAACAGTTGCCGTTTCAGGATCCCCATTGCACAGTACATGAATGACAGCAGGACTTAAACCTGCGACATGGGGACCATCATGTAGAAAACTGTGGGCCAGCATCCTTCCTGCCACCTGAAAGAGGTTGCTTTCAATAAGCACCTCTGATGCCGCTGGAACAAGATGATCAGGTTCACCCTCAAATAGCAGTGTTCGGCCCATTCCTCCTGTAAGTACCAAGGGTGGTAAAGGCAAAACAATTAACCATCTGAAACATTTTTTAAATTAAATTGAATTAACCATCGAAATTTTAAGGGGCTAACCAAGATCTAGACTGAACCCAAAC